TTACTAAATAAATTACAAACGAAGCGAAATTATAATTTTAAAAAAATTAAATAAAATCAAATTTTAAAAAAGTAACTTACAAGAAAATTGTAAAAATAAATGGAATATTAAAGTTATGATTTACGTATTTTATAGATGTTAAAACATTGTAAATTAAAAAAGAAATTTTAATATTTAATAGGTACTGTACGTTTTAGTTTATTAAATAAATAAGAATTATTCATGAGAAATAATAAATATTTATAATGATTAAAAAAATTTACGTTTAAAAGAAATAAATAATAAAAAAATTTATTATTATTATTATTATTTTAGGATAATTTCTGATTTAAAAATATTTATAATTATTTGAAAGATTTGTTATTAGCTCTTGTCATCCTTGAGAGATAAATTTATCCAAAATATTTTTCTTTGAACGCAAAGCAAAAGAAAATATTTTTACTTGTGTGATTCATGATATCATGCATTCAGCAAAATATATATCATTCCTTATGGTAAAAGTAATAATGGAATGTGTTCAAATCGAAATATTTTACGTTATTTTAAAATTTTATTGAAATGATTATATAAGTAACATAAATCTCATCGTAGAAATTGAATATGGAATTTAATAAATGAGAAATATTTTATTTCCTCAAATTTAAATAACATTTTTAAAATGATTCATTTATATTCTTCTATAATTTTATTCCATACAAAATTTTATTTAAACAATCGAGCCAATTGTTTTACTTAAATTTAATTATATATTTATTCTGCGAGCTTTCAATATTTAAATGCATTTCTATAATGATCAAATTTTCGTCAATTATTATAAAATTTTTAACTTACCTCAGCAAAATTTTTCCTATTAATATTAAAGTTTTCTTTCACGTTGATGTCTTCATTGATTTTAAACGATGTAGATAACCGTCAACAGAAATTAATTTGAGATTTATTATTACCATTGTATTCAAAACAATTTTAATTTTTTATGTGGGGATAAAGCTATAATAACGTTTAACAGGATCTATTTTTAAATGTCTAGACTTTGATTTTTAATGTAACGTTAAAAAAAAATTATAAAAATTCATAAATTATATTTATTTTAATAACAATTGTATTTGTAGTTTCTTTTTATAATTTCATTATTATTTTTATGATTATAAATTATACTAAATTAAGTAAATGTTATACATAATTATGTTAAATAAATATATAAAAAGTAATTTTCTTATATAATATAATATATTTGAACTTTTAAAATTAAACTGTTAAATTCTTAATATTATTCATTTAAAGTAAAATTAAATTTAATCCATTTTTTTCATCGTTGTCTGTCGACTTATACCAATCTGTTATCTCTTTCTAAAATTGATATTTTTATTGTTTTTAAGAAGTAATTAATTCTTGCTTGCAGCAAGAATTTAATATTCAGCACACTTGTCTAAATATAAAAGTAATATGAATAGAATTTATTAAATTTATATATCTATCTACCATTTGATAAGGACCACAAAGAATCTGATTTTCATGTAGATAAACTCTTTTCAATGATTTATTAAATTTCGAAAGTTTGAAACATATGAAATATTTATCTGTTACTAAAATTAAATAATATAATTTTTCGATATTAACTAAGTTTCGTAATAGAAATAATCTTTTTAATTTCAAAAGTTAAGTAGACATCTTGAATACAGTAATTTTGGGATTTTATTTATTTATTTAATTCCCAATATATTCAAATTATAAATTAGTTGTATGTTCTTATTCGATGTAAAATTAAGTATTTGTTTGTAACATTCATTTTTTCCTCCTTATACTTTAATGTTGCTGAAGTTTGACAGTTGCACTTCTGTTTTCTTCAATTTCGTTTTCTCACTTCCTCCCGATAAATCTTATTTTCCTGGTATCGAGTTATTTTTACCATAAGATTTTAGTAACGTAGGGCCATCATCCAATATTTGTATGCCGTATCTATTCTTCCAAATCTCTTTATTGTCTCTGTGCCACAATCTCCATCAATCCACTGTTACACCTTATATAAACGTTATAAATGTAATAATACAACTTATTCTGCACACCATATTACTTCAAAATTTTAGAGAAAATAAATAATATTTCGTAAACAATATTTAACATAACAAAATATCTAAAAATTATTCATTTAAATTGTGTATAATTCAAGATTAAATAAGACAGAAATTCTTTCATATACAGTTGAATAAAATTTTAAGGTTTTTAAAAAATTAATTATAACTTAAATGATATTTGCTTTATTTTAACCATTAACTTATTAAGTTAAAGTTTTAAGTGTATTTTGATCTGTTTAAATTCAATAATAAAGTTTTAAAATATATAAAAATATATTCAGAATATGAATATATGGTGTTGAAAAGTGGTTTTTAAGACTTATTTTTATTGATTTGCTTAGAAATTTTAAAACTTGATTATTAAAAAATTCAGTTATTGCAAGAAAACTGCTGACTACAGATATCCGCTTGATTTAATTTTAAAGACATTTCTGAGAGAAAAATCTATACTACTTACAAGAAAGATATCCATATACAAATTTGGAAGACAAATTTAAATTTAAAATAAATTAGTAGTATAAATTTATAATGTTTCAACTGCATTTTAAAAATTTATTAGGATTTAGAAGTTAAATGATATTATTAAATGTGTTTATGTAGGCCGATATCCTAAAAATTTTATTTCATAAAATAAGATAAATTGAAAAAAATATTTTAAATTTTTAATCATTTTCATATCTGATTTCAACAAATATTATTTTCAAATTTTATTTTTAAAAATAATTTTTGAAATTATTATATGAGTTTCTTCGTATAGTCATTACTTTTTTATATGGATTTCTGATGTGATAAGTTTTTAAAAACTAAAGAACATTTTTTAGAAATTATTACTTAACCTTTAATATATTTCTCTAAACAGAAAGTAAATTGAGAGTCTAAAATACATCATTTATACACTTTTTAAATATTATATTATATTTATTTGAAGTAATGGAATATTTATTAATTTGTTACTTTTATCTGAAAAGTTTTCTCACTTATTTATCGGGTACTTTCTAGAAAATTTTAAGGAATTAAATTGAATTTTTCATGCGCGATCTTAACACAAACTGTATGACCTTAAAATCATACAGTGGTTAATCAGATTTGCCATGCTTGCAAGAGTTTACAAGCATGAATAAGATTAATGGCATTTTGACCCGAACTGAGCATAATAAATTTATGAGGATCCTACTATATTATATTCTATAACAGAGAATTAAACTTACTGTGAATGCCAACAAATTTTGATTTTTGATTCCATTAGATTAGTGGTATTTAAATAGATATTCTGCAGAAGGCTAATGGTTTACAAGCAACTTTAAGAGTTACACGTACAGTATACCTTTGTAGGAAATTTTTATTTTTTATTATTTTCATTAAAAATACTAAAAAATAAAAGTTTCTAAACTATACTTTATGCAAGTTGGCCTATAAGAAGTTTTATTTAGAAAATAAAAACAGCATTGAAGTTTATATCACGTGCTCTTTATTTTTTAAACTTTATTGCTTAATATTCCAGAAAATAAACTTAGTATGAATGTATTAAACTCGTAGATGCTGAAAATTTGAAGATCACTGCACTACATTATTAAAGATTACGGTAGTCATTTTTAATGGCATAACTCTAATACGATATATTACTTCTAAAATTTACTCTGAAATATATCGAGAAATTTCCTCTTCATTTTTGAACAGTTCTCTATAATACTTACTTATTAGAATTGAAAAATTCGCTTTATATTCCAAAGATATTAATATATTTACTTTATAATTCAAAGAAAGTATTTATAAAATTACAAAATCTCATACAGAACAAAATTAATACTTTGCATTCCAATAATAATTTTAAAATTTAAGAAAAATTTAATAAGTTTTATTTAGTTTGCTGTTACGTTTAAATGTTTAATGTTTTGAAAGATATTTATCATTAAAAGAATAAATATATAAATTTTCTGAAATGAATAATCCACAATCTTTCGAACGTCATAAATATGTATAAGCGTATATGATGTGACTAAATTTTCATTTGTTTTCCTTATTGTTATAAAAAGTTAATGATAGAATTTTTAATAATTATTAAGTTTTATTTTGATATTTATCTCTGAAATTTCGGTAACAATTATTTAACCCAAATTTTAGAATTTTGAAGACTTAATACTCTTAAACGTTTTAAAAAGCAATTTTTCTTTAAATATACATCAAATAATTTATCAATTACCACATAAATCAGTTATAATTCCTGAAAATGATCAAAATTAGACATTCAAGATGTATAATTATATCTTTCATTTGATCGAAAGATTTCATTTTATTTAAAATAAATTTTTATACGAAACTACTGAAAATTAATTGTTTAATTAAAAATTAGTCAAATATGACACATTCATAAGATAAAATTAAAGATTTTAGATACAAATAAACAGCAGTTCAAACTGAGTTAAAAATTTAACTTTAAATCTGTATTTTATGTTTAATTTTTTAAACGGATATAATTTTAAATATGCATATAAAATTATTTTATATTATTATCAATACATTAATTACTAAGTTACTATATCTTGTAAAATCAATATAAATTAATACGTAACTCTTAAATATCACAATTGTATGGATATAAAGTAATAATATTATCATTACTTTTATTGGAATCTTAGTTATAACTTTTATAACTTTTTATCTTGTTAGAAAAAATTATACTAATTTGTTTCTAAACATCAATGAGTTATGTCTTAATTTCCAATTATATGCAACTTTTGTATGTTAAAAACTAATAAGCGTTAAGTAATGATGTTTAGTGTATTAAAAAATGGATTTCTAAATGAAAAACGGTAATATTCAATCAATGGTTAAATCGTCTATTAAAAAAACGGAGGAATAGAGGAAGATTTAAACAGAAATGCCATTGGTTAGTGTATTTTAGCTCCCTCTAGTGCTTAGGTTCAAGGTCTTCAAGTGACGACTTCTCTCCGTCATTCTGTTTGAGAATCAGTAACATGTCAGTTCTTTTACACGATTATTGGTAAGTTTGCTTTATCATTTAATGTCTGTAAAGTCTTTTAAATAAATAAATACATCTAAAAGTTTTCTTAAAACTTAAATAAAAATCTAATTTTATATTAATTTATCACTTATCACATTAATATGCTTTTTGTTTATATTTAATGATATCAGTAAAAATGATCTGTAACGTAAGTACGTGATTAGAAAAATTAATTAATGAATTTGTTTATTATAGTTTAGTTTATTAATTATTTTTTTGTGAAATTTTATTCAAAATTTAATGCATGCAAAGTTTTATTTTTTATTTTTTAATTTGATGATTCACTGTATCTTTAGACAAAAACAAATAATTTACTAATTTATATTCAATAACTATCATTGTAAAAAAACTGATTTAAGTGAGGAATTTTAGTTAAAACTTCATTTATATTCCTAACTGATACACTTTACGATAGCCTATCGGCGTTTTTGCAAGAGTTAAAGCTAACATTTGTAAATAAATTTGATTAAACTTCACATTGCACGAACATCAATTCCTATTTACCAGTAGAATTTTAAATTATGTTTAATAATTTTTTCAATTGTACTGATATCTAAGCAAATATCAGCTTCCTTTTTAGAATTTTGATTACCTTACAACGGGTACCTTACATTTAAAACTATTTTTAACGGATAAAAAAACAACATAAATTATATAAATCAGGAAATTGCTGAAAGTAAGCTTGTAGGCAGTTAAAAAGACTTCAAAGTTTCTAAATTAAATAGAAAATAATTTATAAACTTTTCTCGATGCATATATCTGAATGTTTAGCACCACTCACCAATTTTACAGTAAATTTAATTCTAACAGATGTATTTTACGTGATTTATTTTGGTTAAAAATAGATAGAATATTGATAAATTACTACCATTCGCAATCTTTATTTATATTGAAAAATATATAAAACAGTAATTACAATAACATCACTATTAATAGTTATCAATTGCCGTTAATAATCGAGGAAAAAATTTTTATAATGATAAATATATATATCTATGTAAATATAGAAAAATTTACATAACATACAAGAATATCCTTTATAATGTTAAACAGCATATAAATATTAAAATTATAAGCAAGTTTTTTGTATATTTTGCCCTTCAAGAAAGGAAAAAATAAAAATGTTTCCTGTTATGTAGATTTGTTGGTGCGATATTTTTATTCAGAAAATAAAGTTTTAATTTATTTGTTTTATTAATTTAAAATTGCCATCTTTCTTATAGTTTTAATTTTAGTTTGAGTGCATTTGTACCATAAGTGGGAGTACATGTTTATAAGTCGTGCTCTAACGTTCATATAGATATTGTAGTGAAAATTAAAATATAGGGGAGACCGGGGCAAGATCGGCATGTTAAGCTTTACTTAAATTTTGTGTAATAAATACTGCTGTAAACTGAAAAGAAAGCTTTGCATATTGTCTATTGGAATGTTACCTTACTATAGAACTGGTTAAAATCAGTTTGGAAATAAAAATAATTAAAATAATTACAACTTTACAAGAAGAGAGAAATTGACGAAGTTGCCCCGGGTATAGGGGCAAGATCGGCAACTTCTCTCTTTTTGTAAAGTTGTAATTATTTTAATTATTTTTATTAAAGTTGCCCCTGGTATAGGGGCAACAGTAATGGGGCAAGATAGGCACGTATATAAAATTATGTTATTAACAATGTATAAGTTGGAATTCACTATTAAAACAAAGAAATACAAATCCAACACCCATTTAATATTATTACAACGAAATGCAAGTTCAAAGACATATATACATGAATAACAAATGCAAACATGTTTTCATTTATCATCTGTTTGATTTTTATCCTTTGCTTCTAATGTGGCTTTATGTTGCCGATCTTACCCCGCTAGTCATGATTTCGAAACATTAAGTACAACCCTGAGAACAGAATGCCAAGCCACGATCTGGCCACGTGAATAAGTTGAAGTTACATCCTTCTAACAGGAAAAGTAACTTTCGTTATCATGGAATTATAACAAAACCTGCCAATTCAATATAAATGGAAAAAAAATATTATATGGAATTGAACGAAAATGAAAATTTGCTTGATAATTCAACTACGCTTGTTGGAGAACAATAAAAACACTACACTCAACAAGCCACCAATAAAACTCAACTGCCTAACCTATAACCAAAGTCTCCTTTTAATTTGTTTTTAAAAAAAAGCGCTTGACAAACTTGCCCCGCATGCCGAAGTTGCCCCGGTCTCCCCTATTCATGTACTATATTATAAATTTTTATATATTGATCAATTTTCATATATATTAATAAAGTATACGTAATTATGTAAAAATAAATTAAATAAACTTTACAAGAATTAAAGATAAATTTGCATATTAACTAATAATAACTTTTTATTTTATTATATAACTTGCAAATTTTATATTTTGTTCTTCTTTAACAATTTTAAATGTACAGACATTAAATATTTTCTCATCTTAAATAAAATCAATTAAATGAATAATTCATAAGCATCATCATTCAAAAAGTTGATTTTTAACTTTATAGGAAACTCATAAATGATTATTTCTTTGAAATCTAATTGATAATTATTAATGGTCATCTGAATAAAATCATTTCTTGAACAAGTTAAGATAAAATTGATAAATATTTGAAAAAAAAAACAATTTTAAATTTATTCTTTTTATAAAAGTTTATCAGGATAAGAAACTGATATAAATTTTTCCATTGTCAAAAATCTAACAATTTGCGTATACAGTATTATTAATGTTTTCTTCATTTAAATGGATACGCAGAATAGTATTCCTATATATATATTACAAAATCAAAAACTATTTAATACATCTTATAATTAATGAAGCAAATTAATTTACATATTTAACTAATTGTAATTTCCAATTAACTATTTTTCTCAAGAGGCATTAGTATACAAGTGTAATGAATTATATATAACAAATCATTTAGGCTTTGTGGGCCTTTAGTCTGAACCTGATTTATTCGTTAAATATTAAGGATTAAGAATTTAAAATTTAAAGGCTAATGTAATTTTTCATTAAATTTAATTGAAGCTAATATTGTAGAATTAACAATTGTTAATATCTATTCTTTTAACTTCATAGCTTAGTATTCGTATATATTTTACGTGATTTTAAAAAGTTAAACGTTCAAAATAAATTAAGAAAAATTTATTTTGAGCTTTCTGAATCTTTCCAAATGTTTATAAATTAAGAAAATTTAGTCAACTATTATTTTATATATCAAAGTTTTGTATCTTTGTAATTATTGTTTAATATTTATTGTATTATTTAAAACATATTTTCCGAAATTAGCAAAATATCTACTTCTAGTTTTCTAAGTGTTATAAATTGTATTGGTCCTAATGGTCATAAATAATCCCAATAAGAGATCTCCTTCAAAACCAAATGGCTCTTAAAGAAATTTTAATACAAATCGATAGAATCTACTTTCTAAGAAACTTCAGTCATACTATTTTAAGAAAATAATAAAAAAGTATTTCTTGTATTAAAACTTAGACGCTATTTTAATGGTAAATTGATAAATTTCTATTTTCATTTGGCAAACAAACGGTAATAAAAGTTGATAAACAAAATATTATGCAATATATTTTTTTAGTTTTTTAGAAAAAAATAGCATAAACTATTCTTACCTGAAGCTATATTAGTTTTAATTGGATTAGTTATTAGATATTTCGAATCTGAAAGCAATTTCCAGTCTCTTCATTTTAAACTATTAGCCTGCGGGATCAGAATTTGAAGGCAGAAACATATTGAAAGTTACGTGAGCTTACTCCTACTAAACCTTTTCGAAGTTAAATCTAGTAGGATTTTAATATCCGCCGAAGAAAGCTTATGTAATTTCTTTATTGTAGCATCATAAAGTCATTATAATTCATAAAGATTAAGAAAAACTTTTTGCACAAAATTTTCGACATTAACTTTACAAGGATCAAACTAATAATGTATTCAGAAAAATATTTAAATAATGAATTAATATTAGATTCTTCATTTTAATTTTAATTAATATTAGTTTGATTTTTTTATTGGGTTTGATGATTCCAATTTCCCTGATTTGTCTTTTGTCATGTAAATTCACATTATTGATCGAATTTGAAGAGAATGTAAATTACAAGGATTATTACTATTTATATAATAATAATCCTTTATATTTATTAATTCAAGTTAAGCATTAACGTAGCAGTATGCATTTGTTACATTATCTCAATTTAAGATTGTACAAACTAGCAAGTAAGACAATCTGGTTTAACATCGCTAATCTGATTGTTACTTTAATAATATAACTGGCAATATTTGAACAGGTATTCTAATTGATAATTAAGACTGATTATCCAAATTTTAATGCATTTATAAAAGAAAAAAAAATTAATTAAAACAAAATTCTAAGGCTTCGGGGAATGTACACGATTTTTTGAATTCTTTAAATTGACTTTCGAACTAATAAAATCGTTTCGATTGAATTATCGCGAAGCAAAAATTAACAAGCAGAAAATTATAAAACGAACCGAAAAAATTAACCTAAATATAACTTAATAAAATAAAAATTATGTAAAACACTCAAGAGTTATCTCTGCAAGTTTAATATCAGATAGAAAATTAATAAACTAAATCGTTTTTACTTGATAAGTTTTCATTTATTCATGCGTAAAATTGGAATTAGAATATTACTTTAAAAATTTGTAATTCTACATTTATATTTAAAAACTAATTACGTTGTTTACACAGAGTGAAGAGTTACTTGAATTAGTTTCAAATCTGTTACTGCCTAATTTGGTTCTAGCATAATAATTTCTATTAAGTTTTTGATAAAAATCTTAATATATATATACCGTATATAATTATTATATTAAAAAAATCACTAAATTTATTTAACGAGGTTTATAATTTTTCGTTCGATTTAACTCTGAGATTTTAATTAAATTTTTTTCTGTAGCCAGAAGTTGTAAAAACAATGTTAAAATCGTTTGAAAATTAATAATAAAGTTCAATCAAGAGTAGAATTATTTTACAATACTATTTTCGTAGGTATGTTTACATTTTGACGCTCTGAATATAGCTTGATTACCATATCTTAACATTCCCTGCGAATAAATCGCCTTAAGCTGGACAATCCATTTGATGTATATGTACTCTAACTCTTATATCCACAAATATGACGTCATCTATTTGGACAAACTAGGATTTATGTGTCGTCATATACCTCTGTTCCTGCTGTGCATCTTGACCTCTTTTCCAAATGTTCGTTATTCGACTATCTTTTATCAGATTCGCGTTCTTATTTCAAATACTTTCCAGTTCAGGATTTAGAGAGAGTTAAATTCTTTGAAGTAAATTGTTCCGGAAATTAAGCCAAAAAAATAAGTAAAAAGTATTGTAAAAAAAAAGTACTTAATGCAGGCTTTACTTAACATTGTAGATAATTTAATATAAGTTATTTAAGTTTTTGTTGAAAAGAAGCATTTCGATCGTTCTGCGGTGTTTTACTGAGTTAAAAGTTGTAAGTTAAAGAGATTTTAAGAACTTATGTGATTAGGACGTTGAAAAATTCTTTCAAATAACGCTTTACTTTTAACTAATATTTATATATTTTAAGTGATATCAGTAAATTTTCTATATCAATTTACATTTTAATAAAGCAAATTTATTATAATTAAGGTAATATTTGAATTAATGCCTTTTATTTTTCTAATTTTTAATTGAAATTTTATATATAATTACGTTTAACAAATTTATGTATTATAAACTATATGAGAACGAATAATAATAGCTGTTGATTATCGACATTTTTTATTAATTTAAAAGGGAAAATAAAGATTTTTACTCAATAAACAGATTTATTAAAAACATGAGCTAATTTAATCACTTTTGCTTTAAGAAATGACAATTCGGATGATTTTTACATAATTATTATTGAGTGTTGAGTTTTTAAGGAGTTTAATCTGTTTTTCTATAAAAGAATACGAATGTAAAACTGTAGATTTATCAAATGATATAGATTAAATTATTTTATTTTTAAACGCTACCAATTAATTGTATACAAATTAAAATCCTTCAAATTAATTATTGATATTTTCTGTTAATTAGTAAACAAAAAATTAAATTTTAAGCTTAATTCTTACTCATTCAGCTTTGGCAAGAGCTTTGGCAGCTAATTCTTACTTATTTTGCATCATATTCAGGAAATGAGACATAATACCGGTTTATCTATAAATAATTCATTGTTTATAGACATAATAAATATTGTTTCTATCCTTTACATAAATCCTTGTTTTTAATATTTAACATGGTAAATTTATATATATCATAAAATATTTCTCGTTCTGTCGTATTTTAATGAAAATGGGCCATTTAATTTAGTTTTATCTCAAGAAATTATTTAAAGACGAAGCTTTAAAATATCTGAATTGTACGATTAATCATGTAATTTTTTTTTAAATTTTTGTAATGAGCGTGTTGTCATGCCGATAAATGTTGGAATGCTCACATTTCAGTCAAATAAATGTAATATAAATTATTTTAAAATGACTTTAATTAAATTAATAAAATAAAAAAAAACTTTCTATTAGCGAATTGGTAGTTTTCTATCGATCGAAATTTTGTTAGCAATACTTAATTTATTACTTCCAGCAGTTCATGGAGAGGAAATCGCTTCAATTTCAGATACGTACTTTTTATCTGGAGTTAGTGAATTGTTTGTGAGCTTGATTGTGATTTTCTTTATTTAGCATAAGCATCAATTAATCCTTCCTCCTAATCAATTTATTCACTTCTTTGAGTTCTTCCCTGTCGTGATGTAACGCCCAAAATCGAATTTCTATAAAGTAATTTTCGCACAAGAATATTTAATTTTAAATTTATTAGAATGTTATAGACTGGGCTGCTGATATAAATTATAATTTTATTATTAAAAATAAACATTTTAAAGAATTTTTTTATTAAAGTTATAAAATCTTATTTGAGACATTTTATGTTGTATTAAAATTACTAAAAATATCTTTATAAAACTGAAATAATTATATGAATATAAACTTGATTATTTGTTAGTTTTTTCTTTATAATTTTATTTGTTCTCAATATATAGTAGCAAATAAGATTACAAGACAAAATTGCAAAATAATCAAGCTTACATTTATCTAATTACTATTCTTACAGATTTATATAGATTTTTTATTTTTAAAAAAATATAGATTTTTACTACTCTAGAAGAGAAAAATTGTTTAACTTTTAAAATATATTTTTAATTTTATGCAGTTTTTTAATATACCAAAATTAAATTGTACTATTTTTAAGTTATAATTTATTTGTAATTTTATTATAAACAAAATTATAACTTTACAAGTTATAATTTATTTATAATAAAATTATAACTTGTAAAGTTATAACTTTAAAAAATCGTAAATTTAAATTTATTGATTTTTATAATTTAATTTTGCTATATAATAAAACTTCATAAAATTAAAAATATATTTTAAAAATTACAAATACTTTTATTCTTCTAAACTGTTGAAAATTTATACTAAACAATTTAATTATCTGATATTCCTTAAAGCTTATTAGGAATTTTTAAACTAAATACTGTAAATCATCCATAAATTTTTAATGTAGTTACTTCTTATACACTCCTACGAATAATTTAATAATCGATCATCAACAATTAAGATTCAATATAAGAACAGGATAGTAATTTCATAAAGAGTAATCTAAAGTTTTCGAAAGCATAAAATAATACTAAGGATAAATCAAACTTTTGCATTAATTTTTTTTTTAATGTAGCATCGTCCAAACAGTCATCAATCAAGCAACTATTACAAACTAATTACAATGTATTGCATGTCTAGCAATTCTGTAAGCAAACTAGCGATAGCTGACTTGATATAAACTTTCGTGATGATACTTTATGGAAGAACTTTGGTTTAATTTTATTAGCAAATAATAACATGTAAGAAAGTTTAATGAACTGTTTATTATCATTATAGGAAACGTGGATGAGATGTCCGAACAAATATTTCTTAAAATGTTAATATTTACCTGAAGAATACATTGTTTAATTTAATTATCAGAAAAATGAAAGCTCTTATGATTATGTTGATGTTAATTACTTGCAGTGATAAAGTAAGTATAAGTTTTTAATAATTAATGTACACACATATATATACATACATATAATTTAAAGTATTATATACATATACGGGATTTTAATTTATAATTAATTTTATTGACAATTATTGAACAGAAAATTGATTTTTGAATAATTCTATTTACTTATAATTTAAATCATCGGAGAGATTGTTAAGAGAATTAGTACTCGAGTACACAAGATTTCTAAAAGGATATAATTCCCATTAGGATTTATGAATGCATTTGTATGACTTTAAAACCTCAAACAGATGGGAAAACTGATTACAGTAAAAGAAAGCTAAAATGGAAATTCTAAAATTAGGAAGTTTCTCGTTAACGTCATTAAATTGAAATTTCAAAATGAAAGTTTTGAGATAACTTCTGAGATTAGTAACGATTAATGACTCTGAAGATGCTACGGAGTACATCAGAAAATTATACAGTAAGAAGTATTCGCATGGATAAATTCACTAAAGAAAATGTACTCGCGTATTTCCCGTGTGTTATAGGGTTAACAATATCTAAGTCGAAATGTAAGACATTTGAAATTTCGAAATCATTTAAACAAGATTTTGGCAAATCAATAATGCTGTGGCGGAATATCAAAAGTTTTCAATGATGAGATAAAAATCAGCCTGACTGTCGTATTATCGAATCTTACAAAGCTATACGTTGTAATAATACAAATACAGTATGAAATTCAATTACCTATAAATCTTTAAAAGATTCTTAGTTTATCTATGTTATTTTATGAATCTTATTTATTTTTATGTAACTAAATTGGAGTAATATTTCCATTGATATTTTTAAAATTTATAATGCTTTGTAGAAAAGTTGTTTCATTAATTTATTAAGTTTTATCAATAAATGTATTATATAGTTATAACTTATATAATTCATTTATCGATAATAATGTCAATCATTGATATTGAAAATTTCTAAAACATTATGTAGTGTAGATGAATGTTAAATAAATTCTTACTTTTTAGATTGTTTTTAAAAAATCAATTTAACAGTTAAAATTTGAGTTTTTTCTATACTAAATACAAAGATTCATAATAATTTAATGTTATTTATTCGAATATTATATTAATAAAGCAAATTCATTCAAGTTTATCATATGAATGAGAAAAAAAATCCTTCCAATTATTTCTTTCCAAGATATAGATATCGCTAGATAATTATCTTAATTTATTAAAACGTATTTATAAATGCATATTTTGTATTAAAATAATGAATTTTAAAGCTTAGCAGTTACAACATTTCGCAAGATGATTATTTTGCGCAAGAGACAAAGCCGATTTATTGTCGATCTGAAAGAGGAGTTTCATTATCATTTGATATCTACAAGAAAGACACTTGTGCCAGATGCTATAATTATTTACCTTCGTGGGCTTTCGTTGATACTGGATTGAGATTCAGGTAATTGTGACTATCTGTAATCGGAATATATATTTATACCAGAATATTTATTTGAAAATGGATACTCTTACAGATATAATTTCTTCTTGGGAACCCTGGTAGATCCGAAGACAAATATAAGTTATACAATTGATCCCAACAATTTAACTCATCCTATATTTGATACATTTGTAAATAATGTATTTGCTTCAAAATGGACATCTTGTTGCCACGCTGCTGTTGCTTGTTGTGAAAAAATGGCATCTGATCCAAAACCAGACCAAGGTAGCATTTAATTTATAATATATTTTTCAATTTTACTTTTAAAATGTATTAAATTTAACTTTAATAATTACTTTTGAAATTCTAACGAAGAAAATAATTTTGCTATTGATTCATTATTTAAATATAGAAATTGTCTGTTAGAGTAATATTACATTTGATATGTAAATTAAGATTAAATGAAAAATTGTGCCACTCCCGTCTATATTTGACATTCAAACAAGCTTTAATTCTCTTTCGGAAAATTTTAAATTACTCTACGATTATTTTATCAAATATAGAACTGTCATAAATCAAAAGTATTTTGAATTATTTATTTCAAAATAAATATTGCATTGAAATAGTCACTGAATGTATTAAAATTATTGATATACATATATCCTATATAAATATACAATTCAACACTTTTTTTATAATGTATATACAGTATGTATGTATATAAATAGATAAATTACTTCTAAAATTTAAAAATAATCTTATAAATAGAGACTGCTTTATTATAATTTTACTCTATGATCTTTATTAGCTTTTAGGTTAATTATAAGGAGAAAATATAACTTTTATGTAATTTACAAAAATAAAAATTATATAAATTATACAAACCTATATTTTAATCTGATATCGACTCCAATAGTATATTGAATTGTATATCAATAAAAACTAAAATTTAATTACAAACTTCATATGAGATGTAATGTTTCGTTTGATATGTTAATATTGTTGATTTTATTATTTTATTTTATGTAAAATGTGTTGTGGCCTTCAAAATATAAGTGAGAAATATTAAATATTCAAACATTATTTTGTTTTTCAAATAAAATTTTCCTTAGGTAGCGTATATAATAATCTTATTGATTTTTTCAGTTGCGTGTAAGTAAAATTATTCTTTGGAAATGTTTATTTTGACTTGTAAAGAAAATGAATTACACGTAGTTAAGAGTCCTTGATCTTTGTATAATTTATTTTAATCTCAAAATGATTACTTTAATAATTTGCATACTAAAACTCTGCATACTAATCCTTTTGAGTTATTTATTTAATAAATAAATAACTCAAAACAGTTAAATAATTAAATTGAATCAGTCTATTGAAATTCAATTAATCGTGTAAGTTTTATTTACAAAATGTTTCTAAACAAAATATTTCTTATTAGCAAATTAAATAGGCTATATAATATAATTAAAAATTATTACTATTGATATTAATATATTAATTGAGATAACGGAATGTTATGACATTTAAACAGACTTTAATCATTTTTCTAATTTCTTTATTTAACACAAATTTTCAATTTTAGTTTTAAATGAGCAAAATAGTGTGTTGTATCTTATTGTATGCACAATGTTTAGTTTATTAAAAACGTAAACTTAAGGAATACCTAGACTTCATGTTTATATTTAAAGTTTAAAAGTTCACATTCAAAAGTTATTCAAGTCTTAAGACGTGAATAACTTTTGAATATAAAATATAAAAGACAAATTGAAATATTTTCCTTTTTTAAAAGATGTCATTTACACACTTTGCGGCTACGATTTGAATAATTCGAACTAATCATACAAAAATATTATATAATTTAGATAAACTAAATTAGAATCATATATTTAAATATTATTACTTTATAAACAAAATTTTAGTATTAAATATATTTTAATATTATTACTTTATAAACAAAAGAGCAAAATTTGAAATACAGAGACACTTCAATATATTTAAGCGTATATTACAAGTACAAATAGATTTAAATATCATTTTAAGATATTCTTTTATTTTTATTTCGAAATGTATAATAAATAACATAGACTTAAGAGAAATAATATAAGTTTTCGGAATGCCATAGAATATACAAAATATAAACTAAAACTGACTTAGAATATTCTCTGAAATTTATTACCGTAAAAAATATAAATTGGTCAATCATTATCATTAAATCTTCTATTTTTGTAATGTTTGGATTTCTTTATTTTTTATTTAGTCTTCAGAGAATTGAATTATATTTTTTCTTTTACATTACTTCTATTTTCTATCTATAATTTAAACAACATGCTATAAATATATATCTATAGGATATATTATTGAAATAAAGAAATTTACTATAAAGAAACCTATCTTTTCAGCTTACTATTGTATATTTTAAGACTAGTTTTTTTCCAGTTTAAATTATCATCAAATTATATTTTATCCGATTTATCTTTCATATTTTTTTAACTTCTTCGCATTATTCTAGATATTTTAATTTTACCATTAATTTACCAATTAATTTATTAAAGTTACACTAAATCTAATTGAAGAGATAATAAAATTAACTTTTCAGATGTTGTTTTCTTTAATTTAAAAATTGAATACATTTTAAATATTTCTTTGCTAGTAATATATAGCTATAAAATGCATTATTTAGTACAAAAATATTTTCAAAACGCTTATCAATTTACTAAAGCAAAGTAAAAATTTTTCAGTCTTCATTAAGTAGTTATTTTTTTATAATATATCCAAAATTAATTATTAAATTAGAATAAATTTTAATGTTGTAAATTCATAATAGAATATGTCACGTATAAATTTATTTATAAGCGGTTATTTAATAGTCATTTTTCAAATATTTATAAAATACGCAGAATTGTCTCGATCACGCTAAATCCTATTTATGTATTTAAGAATTTCTTCCTATAAAATACATTATAGTAATCTCTTATAGGTATATATTTAATATAAAGTGAGTTTATTACTCTAGAACATGCATCAATTGTTTAAATGGTATTATTAGAAAACCATCACAAATATAAACATAGACGTTAATGATATATTGAAAGTAAATTGCAATTTTATTTTAGAAAAATTATATTGTCCAAGAACTTGGGATGGTTGGCAATGCTGGTCAGACACACCTGCGGGGCAAGTTGCGCAATCAGTTTGTCAAGAACATATTTATTTTTCTAGCAAACCTCCACCGTGTCCAAGTAAGTCGTAATAATAAAAATATCACATATGTAACTTGCGTGTATAAGTTAAATATGTTTAACATGTTAATATTTTACTAGCTGAGTGAAATGAAATATTCACTGAATAAATAATTTTCTTTACCAATAAAAGGATATGCTGTTAAAGCTTGTACTTCGGAAGGCTCTTGGTACGTGCGTGGAAATTTTTCAGAATGGACAAATTATAATGGATGCGGCAGAGTTGAAGTAAAATGCTATTTTAAAATTATGAAAATTTAATTAAGATTTTTATAATTTATATTAATTTTATTTTATTAGGGTATGCTTCGGCTGCAATATTTTCATATTGCTACTCATTCTGTTTCCATGTCTTTTCTCGTTCCAGCCATTATTACGTTTGTTTCGTACAAGTAAGTGATGTGCTTTATAGAAAATTGTGTATTTTAAGTATTTGTTAAAATTAAAACACGAAATTACTTTTAATAAAGATAAAATGACGTATTTTAATTTCAGACAACTACGAGTTTATCGAATTATAATGCACAGGAACCTGTTTATATCTCTTTTCTTAAATGGAGTTTTTGTAATTCTTTTCAAGTCAATCGTAATGTTAGACGAACTTCATAATTTTGATAATACTATTCTTGATGAGAACAAAGTAAGTTAAATTTATTATAAGTTGCTTTAAATGAGATATCCATTTCTTAATTTCTTCGTTTATTTATGAAAATTGTTTTAGAATAAATAACGAAATTATAATAAGGTATCGAGTAAATGAATCTCAATAATATTTATAAGTGAATATTAAAAAATCGTAAAACTTTTGAAAAATAATGACAATGTTTTTAAACATACCATTAATCTTTAAAATTTTTCAGTTCTGAAATGTATTGATTTAGCAAGAAAGACGGTTTACAGTGATATGAGAAATCTCATGATTCCAATACATTTCAAAACTTCCATTAACTGCATTGATTTTAAGCGTATATTTCTTTTTACATGTCAAATATTTTCTGTTATATGTCTAATGTTTTTGATAGAATCTCTAGCTAATAAATTAAAAATTACAATAAATAATGTATCCACGTGCTGTTTCAGCTGAAAATTATAGTTTAAATGTAATATAATAGCGTGTAACTCCAACTACTAGATAAAGTTTTCAATCTGCGTTATTCATAGATAACGAGTGTGATGAACTTAAAAATCCTTATGAAACTATATGGTTCTAATAATAATAATAACTATTATTATGTGCATAAAATTAAAGAATAACAAAAAAGGAATAAGATAGAGAACATATTTGCACATATTTAAATCTCTATTGTGAATACATAATTGTCCAATATTAATTTATTATATTATTTATTTATATAGGTATTATCGTAATTATTAATAATAATAATTTTTAAGTAAGATATCATGCTAATATTTTAATTTGTAAAATAGAATTACAAGTCTATTTAAAATAGATTATGTTACATAATAACAAACTAAAATAAAGCATAAAACGGCGTATTAAAAGACGCCATTCATATGGAGATGAATTTAAAATAGTCAAAAGAGAATTTGACATGAACGAGTTACAGTTGAATAGATTTAAATATGTACAGGTACTTGCGACGGAGAAACACAAAGATATGAAGTTAATTATTTTGATTTCTGTGTTATATAATGAAACTGTTCAGGAAGTTGTATAACCATTGCGATTACATTAAATTTAAAAAATTGCTAACGCTCAGAAACATTATTGTTATTGGTAAGTGTTATAATATCATAAACTATATGATAAGGCTTTATGATCTTAGCTGAGCAAATATGAAATTGTATTTTCATATTTGCTCAGCTCAGATTTTGTTAATATTTCCAGTTAAAATCAGAATATCAGAGTTTCTATACTCATTCCGAACTTCTTCACAATTTTGCTTATATAAATAAAGCTATAACAGACAATAATTTAAGACAACAGACTCTTGTCTGTTGTCTTAAATCATCACTCATTGTGAAATAAAGACAGACTCAAATTATCATTTCATTGTGAAAAAAAAAATAAAGACACTGTTTCAACAAAAGAAGTTATATAAGTTTTTATCTGTAAATATCAAATATAGAAACTGCTATATTAATTTGTTGTGTACGGATATAGATTTACAAATACAAACATAACAATTGCTATATTTGTTGTGTACAAATAAACGGATTCATAAAGTTGCTATTGGGATGAACATTTCCACTAAGTGGCCAGTTTATTGCCCCTTAACTTAATACGAAAACTTTTAATAGATTACATAAACTTAATATAATTCCGCTTAGTTCATGGTTCAGATATGTAATTATAAAATAATTGAAATAATTTTGCTGATTTAGGACCAATCTTATTACAGAAAAAATGTTTAAGAAAAAATTTATCAATGAAATAATTTCTTATATCAAGTGGCCATCAAAATTAATTATATGATTGTTATATAATAAAACAAGCTATAAAAATCGAGTTTATATACTGAAATTCAACTAATATCTAAAGAATTGTATTACGTAGAATCCGAAAATGTAAAGAATTCATATATGTCTGAAACATATAATGAATAAGAAGAAATATTGCAAAACAGAAAAATTTTCTTTATTTCATGGCAGAACAAAAGTTTTTCGAAGAGCGAAATCGTGTAATCGACTAGAACAATATATAATATTTCTGAATCACCTTGTATAAATATAATTATAATTAAGAGATATATTATTCTGTATAATAACTGTTTAGAAATATAAATATATAAATAAATAGAAAACAATATACTTGCTATGTTTGCTTTTCCTATTTGTGGTAATATCTTTTTTGATTTTTTACAGTTTTTAGCCAATAACATTAGCGTTTACTTTGTTTAATACATAGAAAAAAAATTAATATTATTGGATAAGAATTTAGTTTGGAGGTATTAAAAACTTATCAAAAGTCAGAACTACGGATAGCATGTCAAGAGCGTTAACGCCCATTGGATAAAATCATTGAACACCGGTAGTTGGTCGCAGGTTTGCGCGTTACCTACGGACTGGATAAGTGGAGTTGTACGGATTTTATTCACGTGTCTAACACCTAAATACAGGTTAATTTCTCATAGAAAGTCCTCTTGGAAGGCATTTCCCTAGGCAGATCGCCCACGTATTGCGTTGCTAAGGCAACGCAACACATGGGCGATCAACTTATTTTATTAAAATCAATTCCAAAAGTATCAACAAATGTTGAATCTGGCTAAAAGTTTTATATTGCCCCTATTTAATGACGAACATTAGATATTGATAATTATTAAACATTACTTAAAAGCAGTTTAGTTAGCAAATAGTTACAGACCTATTCTTAGTGGTGTGTTCATTTAACCGTTTTATTTTGAACGATCATTGATTTTTCTAAAATCAAAAGATACACCTTAATGAAAAATGAGAACATTCTAATTCTTTCCACAGCTTTGACTCAAGTTATGTACTGAGAAATACAGTGGTACAGTACCTCAGGATACGAAATTAATCCGTTCCGAAATTGAGATCGTATCATGAAAATGTCGTAAGGTGAATCATTTTTCTCCATACGATTACATGTAAAACCAAATAATTCATTTCAACACGAAAACACACTCAAATTAAAGCTAAGTAGTACATTAAAAAAAGTATAGTAAGGAAAACACTGAAAAATTCGTTTTGTAGTTGTAAATGTATAAATAACCACAATAGAATAATTGATTTTAAAAAAAATGTAGTTTTATTTGCACTTTATCTTTGAGGATAGACGAAGGTGGAGGTGTAAACTGGTGGTGGAAGAGAGGGAGTAGGGAAATGATACTAAAACTTAACTGACATAATATAATGTAACAATAACTTAAAAATAACTTAGAAAAGATAAAAAAATTAGTGTTGTTTTATATATATATATATATATTTTTTTTTAAATTTTTATTCACTGCTTTTTGCTTCCTTTCCTTCACTTCCACCAGCACTTTCATTGGATAGAGGTGGCTTGGTAAAATATCTATCCAAAGAGGTTTGGCTTTGCGACTTTTTAGGCAAATGTCATTACTCTGAGCAGCAATACGGCCAGTGTAAACCTTTTTGGGATGTTTCTTTTCAATAAAATCTGTCACTTTCTGATAATATCTCGAGATTTCCTTTATCGAGCGAGATCCTTCCACGTCGAAGCAAACACGCGGACCGAGACCGATGAACAGAAGTGAATAAAAAATGGCGCTGCGAACTAATCTACCGTGGTATAGTAAGTTTTTGTTTGTATCGTGGAGCAAAAATATGTTCGAATTTCGTGTCGTATCCTGAAAATTTCGTATGCTGGGGCGTTTGTATCCTGAGGTACCACTGTAATTTACGAATAAACATACAATAAAGTTTCAATTTGAAAAATAATAAAGATCAAATTGGAAAAGCATAAGTAACGAAAGTGAAAATTACTGGTAAAAATAACTTTAATGAAAAACAAAGTTATTATATCATTTTTATCTTATATATATTATATTATTACTATTATTGCAAAGCGAGTTAAATAGATTTCATATAGAAGAATAGAATGCCAAATTATATTTTGAAAATGAGAATTATAATGATGATTTCAGTTTAAAAAACATCAAAATAATTTGTTTTGCAAGACTACTTACAATAAATTAGTCTATTATTCACATTAACAAGTACATTTTCTGTAAACAATTATTTGTTATTTACAGAAAATTATAATTTTCGGGACTATTCAAAATGCATTCCTTAACAAAAAACGTTACTCACCAGAAGGTGGTTTTTGGAATTGAATGAAGCTTTATTTGTGCGAACGCAATATCCACGGTAATGATTACAATATTATAGAAGACATGGATATAGATCCACATAGAAAACAAAGAACATATCTCCTAAATATTTCTGTACCGGCAATTGTACCCTACCAGCATATTTTTATTTTATGCTATACTACAACAATTAGGAGTAGACGGATACATTTTATTTTTTATATCCACTCAAAATTCGACAATGAGAAACTTTTCTTACTCATTTCATTGGTTCGTTACTCCAATATATACTGTATATAGATCGACGCCAGGGATAGCAAATCTATAATAGAAAATTTCTTATGGGAAAACAATTCAATTTAAAATAATCTTTAGTATTTTATAGAACCTCGTTTGCATACATGCAGCAATGTTGTAAGGCATCAAGGCATGTAGGAATCATAAGCAATTCTATGCCACTTCAAACCCCTCACAATCGTAGATAGTCAAAACTGGTGTCCTATCTGATTACACAAAACAGGGCAAGCAAAGAAAGTGTAGCAACGTGATAAATAAATTCCCTGGGAAACTTTAGCTGTCTGCGGCCGAGCATTATCTTGCTGGCTAATTTGTAGTCCTGTCATGAAAGCTAAATGCAGGAGGACGCAGGATTCCTAGACGTACCACTGTCAGGGATAACCAACTGTCATTCAATATGATTCTCCAGACCATTACGCTAACAGTGAAAGTACTATGATGCTCAACAGTAAAGGCAATTGAAGCATTCATCGTTGGTTTTCCAGAAATAACACGGTAATCGTCCGTTCTTAAAGAGGACCGGATTCGTTGCTAAAGATGATATGCTGCCAATCTATAGCTGTCTATTCTTCTCTATCACGGCACCACTTCAAAGAAAGTAGATGATATTGCTGTGCAGTTCAATGGAAAGTATACATATTATGCATAGTGCATATTGAACGCATAGCGAATCATTACGCATAGTGGTGGATACAGGGGATGCACAGGGCAGAGCTTCTCTTCTGGGGATTTTTCTGAGTAAAATGTAGCATCTCAGATAATAAACTTGTAAGGCATATTGTTTCCTTTCTTCACTATTCTCTAAAGATTTTTGGATTTGCTACTAGTCAAGTATGCAAATTTGTCTCTGCAAGTGTCCTTGTCAATGGGAGCGACAGAGACAATGTTCTGTAACGATAATTCCACCTATCTGGACGGCAGACAAAGATACCATTGTAGTTTTTCGTGCTTTTTCACGATCAGACGATCATCTGTCCCAGATCATCCATAGCCTGCTCGCCGTCTGTGTGCCATTCACGTGTCCATTGCTCCCAACACCACGTCACAGTCAGGCCAGAACGGTGCAGATGACGGACAATTCGGCGAAACGATCATCTTACTTTCCTCAACCCACTGATGCAGACTTGGTCAAACTCTGTCAGTTGTGCGTAATGTCTGACTGCATCGTGCAGGCATGCTTAGCGTTCGAAAACTACAAATACAGTACACTGTATTTTCTAAACACAATAAGCTTGTAAGAGCCTTTATATATGATACTGGAGCAACGATTTTAAGACATTCTGGAGTGCAATCGAACTACAACTGTAATCCTTTACATGTTTGTTTGAGACAGATGAATTCCTAGTTTTGTAGTAATCAAACAATTATATCTGGGTTTAAAACTCTTTTTGGTGAGTGAGTGTATTATTTATTGTATTTAAAATATCAAATATTTTATTTATACGTTAAAAATCAATCGTTTGACAGAAAAATTTTAGCGTTTATAAAATTTACATTTACGTATTACGATATTTAAATTTTTCAAAAGACGAGTTACTTTTTACTCAATTTTTATTTACTGTATATTTACTCTATATTTTACTTAATTACATAAAATCTATAATAACGAAATTTAGTTATTGTTAAATAAATTATATATAACAATTATATATATAGGCCTATATAATGAAATCGACAAAATATTCAGATAATATGAGTGAAATGTTCAGATATTTGGGACGTTGGTAGGCTTAAAAGCAATTTTACGAGTGCAATCTGTCACAAAAAGCAGATGACAGATGACGTGATAAATATTTCTGATTAAAATGGGAGTTCTTCAATATAGTTAGATTAGATACATTATAATTAGAGTATGTACTGTATGAAATAGTTAATTTAAAAAAGTATTTATTTTGTAAAATTTAAGAAAAGGTTATCGTTACTGACGTGTATTTTCAATTTTTTAAAGAATAAGATATGTAATATTTTTTTTCTTTACAACGTACTGACGGAAAATATTCAGCTAGTTAGTATCGACATATAAATTATGTAGCCTATAGAATAATTCATTATATCTTAGTAAATAAATGGATTTAAAATAATTTGAAAATAACTGAAACGTTAAAATAGTAAACTAATATTAGAATAAACAAATAAATAATTATAATAAAATATAACAATAAATTATTGTTATATTTTATCGTTGTTTTCTAGAGTAGGCTATATTGCTGTTTTAATAAATTAATTTCCCTGTATTTCTGGTTCAAAATTATACCATACAAGATTTAAAAAATAAGAAATTAAACAACGAATAAGATCTGTTTACTGAATAATTTTATTAAATATATAGTTTTATCATTTTTCTTTTATACAAGATTTGACATTCACTCGCTGTTTTATTAAAATATATCTAACAAGATTTATCTAACACTACATACTGTAATTAATACTGAAAGAAATTTTTTCTTTAAAAACTTTTTCATACCACTTTGATTACCTTCAGTAAATAGATTTCTTACATTTATCATTTCAATATATAAATTGAAACAAAGAAAGAAAAATAATCATTAACTGATTAACAATCATGTTACATCACTTTTATTTTTAAATTACTTTTTTATATAATTTAATCTTTACCTGTCGTTTATTATTATGTATTNTCATAAAATATTTCTCGTTCTGTCGTATTTTAATGAAAATGGGCCATTTAATTTAGTTTTATCTCAAGAAATTATTTAAAGACGAAGCTTTAAAATATCTGAATTGTACGATTAATCATGTAATTTTTTTTTAAATTTTTGTAATGAGCGTGTTGTCATGCCGATAAATGTTGGAATGCTCACATTTCAGTCAAATAAATGTAATATAAATTATTTTAAAATGACTTTAATTAAATTAATAAAATAAAAAAAAACTTTCTATTAGCGAATTGGTAGTTTTCTATCGATCGAAATTTTGTTAGCAATACTTAATTTATTACTTCCAGCAGTTCATGGAGAGGAAATCGCTTCAATTTCAGATACGTACTTTTTATCTGGAGTTAGTGAATTGTTTGTGAGCTTGATTGTGATTTTCTTTATTTAGCATAAGCATCAATTAATCCTTCCTCCTAATCAATTTATTCACTTCTTTGAGTTCTTCCCTGTCGTGATGTAACGCCCAAAATCGAATTTCTATAAAGTAATTTTCGCACAAGAATATTTAATTTTAAATTTATTTATAATATTTTAAATTAAAGCTTTATAAAAATATTTTAAAACAAAAAATAAATTAAAAGAATGCGGAAAACAATTTATTGTTATATGAAAAGTTTATTTGATTATTTATTAAATTATTTTAAAATATAGCAAAATGATTATTTTTCCTCCGTGCTTCAATAACTTTTATCTTAAAAATGTAATAATAACGATATAAGGAAACGTTTCGTATTTAATATACTGCAATTACATAGAAAATATTTAAATTTAGTTGGGAAAATGAAGTTTTATATTGAAATTAGCTTTGATTTTTGTTTCATAAGATTCAAGGTTAAATAAAACATTAAGATATTCATAGCTAGATATAAAATACGAGAAGTGTAATAATTTCATCTTTCGAGAACGAAGTGAAATGCATTTTTTAAATTGTCTATTCAGACTTTTCATAAGAAACTGTTAAATTTAAAATGAAAGAAGAAATTCATGTTTACATCACACTCCAAAACTGAAAGATTGAACGAATATCTAAATAATTTAATATTTAATTTTCGCGTGCTGATACATTTTTGTTCAGAAGCTGTATGACCTGATAACAAAACATGAACGCCTCTCTTTCTTTGCTAAGAAATTCTAACTTTTAGAATCTCAATATTTATAGAACTTCATTAAATTTGTTATTCAGCCCTTCAAAAGATAACGACTGATTTTAGTAAACTTAAGATTTTACGTAGAATTAATAACATTGCTATTTATAGTAAACATATCAAAACTTAATTGTGAAATAAATTACCTTATTTAATATGCAAAAATAAGACGAAATGTTTAATTTTAATAATACAATTGGTGTCTTTCAAGTTGAAAAAAGAGACAACAGCACAATACACCCAGACTTTATTCAGAAAGCATGAATAACAATTATTAATTTTTTTTAAATGTGTTACTACGTTGTCGAATGACAGATAAACTGGTGACAGATAAGGGAGTATTTTATACTTTGTCTGTCATAGATAATGCTTCAAATCTACCAAAACTAACGAGTTAATGCTTTACGTTTTGCATAATATCTTTATTTCAAATATATTGAAAATACAAATTTTTTATTTCTATTATTCTAAAATTAGAATATTTTACTAAATAAGTATAATATCTATCAATTTAAATAGTTCTTTACTTAGGCCTATATGCAATATGTTAATATAGTAGCAATATATTTTTGTGTACTTATGCTGGATTATGTCGTTAAATTTAAGCATATTGAGCTTATTCTGCATTATAAATTATTATTTAATATATAGAAATGTATTTTTTTAGCTTTAGACAATTTCCTTTACTCTTATATTTTATAAAAACTGAAACTTTTTCATATCAGATTTTGAACTTCTAATTTATAAAGGCAGGCCGGCTGGGTGGCCGAAGCTGTTAAGAAATCAGCTTTGGGGAAATCGTGATTAAACCCCAGGAATTTTCGTGGTTTTCAACTGAATCTAATCTAAAGAATTTATCCTAGATAAGTCTGGTCCCGACCGACGTTACCAGGCTGCTCCATTCTGGGCCTGGCCGAACCCACGATTGCTTGAAAAACGATCTTGTTAGTACCCACAGAGCGGAAAGAGTCTAAAAAAGGGGAGGAAATATTTCGAAATAACTCTAAAAACCAAAAAAGAAACTAATCCGAAATAAATTAGATTATCATTTGATTACTTTATACAAAATAAATTCGATGAGTGTCTTTTCAAAAAATTGTGAATTGAGAATCTCAACACTTCTTTTCTCTGATATATATAATAGAATTGGCATTTCGTTTCGCAATATCATAATCGGATTAAATATAAACCTATTAAAAAAATTCGAATCCTTTCACAGTTGTTATCAATGTTATAAATTAGTTTTGAATCGTAAAATATGAGCTTTAATATCTCAAATCTTTAAAATAACTGCGAATTAAATTAAACATATATAAAAATTGTTTTACTTATGTTAGTTTTGACAGTTCAAAAAGCCTGTAAGTGCAAGTTGTCTATACAGACTTACAATGTAATCATTATTAATTCTTACGTTTTAGGTTGGTTGTAAAATACTTCTTATTTTAACCAAATATTTCCAAATGACTAATTACATGTGGATGTTCTGTGAAGGATTTTACTTACATCGCCTGATTGCAGCAGCATTTGCGGAACAGAAAAATATTATAAAGTTTTATTTCATTGGATGGGGTAACAAATATTTTTGATTAGATAAACTAGAAATAAGTTATAATTAAGTTATTTTTTTATAATCATATTATTTTATTTTAGGTTTTCCCATTATACCTATTACAATTTATGCTATATTAAGAGAAAATTTCGCTAATTCACAGTAAGAAACTTTGTTTAAAAATCCAATAGTTATTTATTTATTTAAATTAAATTTAGTCTATGATACAGTTATATTAAAGTGTAATTCGAATGCACAAAACTTTTCATCATTCTTTATTAAAAATTTTAATTAAAAAAAAATTATTGTAGATGCTGGGCGATTCCCGCTGATCCATATGAATGGATTTTAAACATACCTAATTTATTCAGTTTAATGGTAAGTGGCTAAACGTTATCAAACAGAAATTAATTATAAATTAAATTTTATTTATTCTGCTTTTTTTAAAAGCTAAATTTCGTCTTTCTCTGCCACATTATTCAAGTGTTGGTAACTAAACTACAGGCAACTCATGCAAACGAGCCAAGTCAATACAGGTAGGAGAGTATGACTTTATTAAAAACATATCCTAATATTATTTCAAATGTTTAAATAATTATTCAAAGTTATTTTAGGAAAGCTGTTAGAGCAACTTTAGTTTTAGCTCCTTTATTTGGTCTCCATTTCTCACTGGCTATTTATCGACCGCACTCAGTTAGTTGCGAACTCTTGGAAGCGTATACATTTTTCACTTATACATTAGATGGATTGCAGGTAACTGTTATCATTATCTCTTAGATTCTATTTATATATCATCATTTATTGTAAAAATACTAAAATCTTATACTAAAATATCAAATTTTTATAGGGATTTCTCGTTTCATTAATTTTTTGCTACTTTAACAGTGAGGTAAGTGAAAACACATTTATCAGAAAGTAAAGGAGTTTAATATTGTTTTTCTTTATAGGAAACGCAATTTTAATTACTTTCGTTATTTTTAATATTAAACTATTATCCTGAGCTCTAAATATAGAAATTATATTTTTATCGTAATCAATATAAATAATATAACAAGCATTTATTACAAGATTTATTGAATCATGAATTGATCGAAATACTGAAAGGAATGAAAAGAACAGAAAAGTTATAACATTATTGATGACTTTTTGGCTTGGTTGATTATTTCTGTGCTGATTATTATAGATACTGCCTCATGAGTTCTTATTTAATTATTTAGACTATATATATATATATATATAATATAATTTAAAAATAGTACATAGGATATATAAGATCTATTTTCATTAACTGATACTCTGATTATTTTTAAGCAATTTTTAATCAGAAATTAAAATTACAAATGCATGATTAATTAAGTTAATAAGCATGTTTCAAGCGATTAACTTGTTGAAATAATTAGATAATTAATTGTTTAAAATTAAATTTTAGCTATTGAACTTGAAATTCAGTGCAGTCACTTCTCAGATTAAATTAATAATTCGATGTTTTGTGCGAAAGATTAGTGAATTTTTAAATTCGTTTTGCTAAAATTGTATGCGGCTGTTTGTAAACTTTTTATATGTCAGTGAAGTTTGTTAGAATTTTACATCAGCATGTAATCATTGGATTCAATTTTTCAAGACTTTAGAAGAATTATATTGAAAAATTACTGAAATAAAAGAGGGTTAAAGTCTTTGCTGAGAATAGAAAATAAAAAGAAAGCATTTAAAGAAATGATCTTCTAGGATATTGGCTAGACTTCCCAATGGCTATGTCATTTGCAATATTTGTCTAACTTCATATCAGCTCAATGTTCAAGATAAATAAGGCCGTTTAAACGCTTTTAATTTTAATCGAACTGTATTTCTATGGGATGATTTATTCAGTTAAAGTATTCAGTAACCAAATAAATATTACCTTTACGGATTCTTTTAGCATATTACACTCCGTTGCAGCATTATCAAAAAGATTTCAAGAAAGAAAATATGCATTTTGAAAATAAAAAAATCTTTTCAATTATTTTCACAAATCTATACACAGATTTTACGAAAGTTCAGAAATTCGCGATCTTCATGCAATAATGAAACACAAACTATCACGAAAGACGCAAAATTACGCAGAATTAGAGGCGCGGGATTTAAAAAATTAAAGAAAAATTTTCAACACATTTAAGACAAAACATTATTACATTTTCGATAATATTATTTCTAATTTTAGTTCGATTGTTTCGTTTCCTACCAGAGAAATGCTACAGAAAGTTTATAATGGCTTGTCACTGTAGTATAATGAGATTATTCATTTAATTCAGAAAAATAGAACTTTATCAACTAATTTGTAGAGAATTCGTTATATCGTATACACAATATTGTTCCTTACCGTGTATTACTTTATTAATAATTCATATTGTATACATATTTATACGTCGTAGTATTAAAATATATATCAAAGGAAACCTACGATGTCATAGGAAGGGAAACAATCGAACTAAAATTAGAATATTATTGAAACCACGATAATAGTTTGTCTTAAATTTATTGTAAAGTTTTCTTTAATTTGTGAAATCTGTCACCTCTATTTTGCATAATGTCGCATGGAATAATTTGGGGCTAAAAACATTAAAAAATATTTCCAACAAAGTTTGTAATGATAGATAATGAAATTTACTACATAAAATGATAATAAAATATCGTAATGAGAGTAAATAAAATGTTAGGACAATTTTTAATTAAAATTGTATATAGTTAATTAATGAAAATAAAACAATAATTTAATGATTTTACAAAATTACAGTAAATAGAAAGCGTTTGTTCAATTTAAAACTATATACTGTACTTCAGTTTTATGTCGAATTTTTATCTTTTCATGATGTTAGAATTATCGTAAATTTATTCGCAGTGAATTTTTAATAATCCCTCAAAAATATCAATTTATTCAAAATGCCCTATAAACTTTCTTGCTTGTTTGTGCTAGATTTTAACTTTTTATATATCAGTTCTTATAAAATGAATCGAGAATATTTGAATAAAAAGTAGCCTAAGTTTTGATGCAAAACAATGGCAAAACTTTATAAATCGATAAAACTGCCGGAGGGGACATTTACTTCCATCAGTCATTTCCTTACAAGTTGACGTAGCGTTTCATTTCAGTCGTCATGTCAGAAACTTTTCAAACAAAACTTTCCAGACAGACAGATCGACTTCGATGGGGCAACTATACAGCCATTCTACTTGCCCCATATGATTTTTTTTCTTGTGCGATTTTGTTAATGGCAGTGCTTTTGTGCTGCAGCTTCCCGTTTTTTGATTAATCTTACAAGAGAATTACTGACATGTGAGCTTGGACGTCTTGCATCCCACCTGGAAAAAGATCGAATTTCATTTTGTTTTCATTTGTGCTACAAGATGCCCTTTAGAAAAAGATAGCCAAGTGCGTTGATAAAATTTTGAAATTTAATATTTAAAATTCAAGCGTTAGATTTAGAAATTTTTTTATTCTATTAAATTAAAAATTTAATAATAAGATTTTAAATAGATAATTATTGTTTAAAATTAATTACTAATATAAAACAATTGCTTACTTAAATATTTTCGGAGATTAAAATTTAATAGCAATATTTTACAATGTCATAAGAATGCAATTTAAAAAAGGAGTATTTTTATAAATGAATTCAAATCTATAAATCTAACAATTAATTAAAAGTAAATTTGCAAAATTGCTCTTGATGATCAAATAAATAATTTAAATAATTTGTAATATCTTCGAATTACATTGAGTAATCTTTTAGATCTCATTCCCTATATATTTGTATAGTATAATATTATAAAAATATAAATTTTAAATAATAATTTTTTAGTATATGTACTACTTAATAGTTAATAAATATTTGTTCTATTTGGTTAAAATTATTTTCCAAACCCTAAAAAATATATGGAAAGTATAAACCAAAGCATAATAAAATTAAATTATTTAATCCTTAAAATAGAGAACCAATGAATAATTTTTGAGATATTTATATAAACTGAAAAAGTAAAGATTTTAATCTATTTATGTTTCAAAGACTTAGAAATAAAAATATGAAAATTTAAAAAATAGTTTAAAATTAAAACTAAAAATTTACTTAATTCTTTTATCACTACACTCGTAGAAATTTACAATTGAATTGCTCAGTGTTGATAATCTAGAGAACATTGATTTATAATTGGGATATAACGTTGGTTTAACAATTCAAATCAATTTTTTGATTTGCTTTAAGCTTTTTGTCCTTATGCATAGTATAGCCTAACTATTCTTTTTTAAGCTCATATTGTTGCATAAATATTTAGGACTTTTCATATACTAATTATAAGTCTTTTAAATTGTAGTGTTATTAAACTTTTTATTAATAAAAAAGTAATTCCTAAATGTTCATAATATTTCGGAAGAGACAACAATTCACCTTCTCTTCATCCTAATATGACAGACACAATGTATTGGTGAATACTAAAAATACACACACAAAAAAAAACATAAATTACTTATTTATAGAAATACTTTCAAGTAATTTAAAACAAAATACGATATGGTACTGTACATATGTATTTAAATAACGTATTTCCTTACATATTTTACATATTCCAACGATACTTCGGAGCCAAATTGCTATTTGACACTATATTAAACATATTATAATATACATGACAATTGAACAAAAGTCCTACATATTTAAGGAAGAAAGTGAGCTTAAAAAAGAATAATTCACATTGTTCAATATTAAATTAATCCGATGTTTGCTAATAACAATTTACCCAGGAATCAATCCCAGCTTTAATGTCAACAATTTCAATCGATAAAGGTCCTATGCCAATGAACAATATTGCAAGATCGGTAATGAATATTGTTATAGTGTCGGCAGTGATGTTAATAATGATTTTCACAGCATGATCATTTATCTGATAATTTCTATTTGAAGTTGTCACTGATAGTGGAATAATATGCAATTATTTTGCTAATATATACCATATATCGGTAATCAAATTTTAGCATAGAAAGACTTTAAAGCAGATTATTTTATAGCCTATCTTATATTTTAAAATATGTTTTAAACAAGTGTATAACATATAAGTTCTAACATGAACGTTTATAACATATAAGTTACATAGTTTCGACCCCTACCGATGCAATTTATTAATTATTAATAAAATTTATAAGGAAAGTTACAAAGAAGGATGTTTAACATATTTTTTAAAGAATTGTAATGTTTAAAAACTTATTTTATATTTTTACACTTACACAATATAATTTTATTTTAACTTATACATTATTAAGTGCTTTTCTGACCTAATGGTGACACTCCCAATAACTAATATAAAAGTCGTTGTCTGTGTTTATGCGTGTATGTGAATTCCTTATAACTCCTGCAATTTTCGTCCAATCTAGACGAAATTTTGATTATATTCGTTTTATCTTTTGACGGAAAGTATAGGCTGCTTATTGTGCGGAAGTAATATTAGCTATATGTAGAATAAACGTGTTATCGATTTCGGACCGGTGATCATACTAACGTTTCAATGATGTCAGTGACTTTGTGCCGTTTATGCTTGACAAAAGAACTTCCCTTAAGTTACATTTTTACACATTTTGGCAAATGGCGTATTTTAAACTTCATTAAATTTAAACTTTAATCTCTACTTTATTCTACGAATTAAAAATCTAAAGATGAGATATTGGTATTCCATACACCGCATTACTTTCAAAATACAGTATATGATGTTAGATGGGTGTAAAATCTAATATGTTGGGATCCAGTACGAATTTAATAATAATTTTCAATTGACACGTGTTCAACACAAATCCTCGATCTAATTTAAAGAGGAATTCTAACATTAGGATTACAATACTACTTTTACAGAACACAAGGCCTAACCGGCCCT